CTTTTCTCTGTAGTTGTTGTTTATGTGACTGAAGGGAAGTTGCAAGTGGTGCAATTTAGGATGATCTGTTTTTATTCATTACTGCATAATAGATGGCAGTTGGAGATTTCATATGGCCAACTCTGTTTTTGCATCCTAATCGTGCTAGACATTTGGTCTTCAAAGGCTAAAACAGAACCCATCACCAGAACTTTCCCTTCTGGATTACATAAGAATGTAGACATCTCTGGTAATAAATTTATGCTGACAGCTGCTAAAAAATTTACAAAGCTTGACAACATACTCTGAAAGCAAAGGAGAAAATAGAGACCTTGGTTGATTATTTACCTAAAACATGTATCTTTTGGGGAAACACACACACAGAGAGAGAGAGAGAGAGCATTTAAGTACGTGTATAAGAAGGCATTAAGATACTACTTTTTTCTCCCACTTTGTGGCCTGTCTTTTAAGGTTCGTTATAGGAGACATCTCATTTTTCATGAGGAAAAGTAAAAATGACTTAGAAAAGCATGGTCTGCCTTTGGATTGTAATGCAAAGTCAATCCCTGCTCATTTTCGTTAGGGAAAAATTTAAGTTTTTCCATAGAGACAGACAAAGCCGAAGCAACCCCTTTGGCAATGACGTTTGCAGTCAATCTGGAGAGGCAAATGCATCACTGAAAGTGAATTTCTAAGCATCTCTCTAGTGTTACAAACAGATTAGCTCTCACAGTTACCTAGGCAGATGTGAATCTGTCCCACTTGTGGTCTTAATGCTTCCCTGTTGCTAATGATGTTCCAAGGGTATCAGAAAATGGAAATAAATGGCTGGCGTGGTAGCTGCCTGGAGTTGCCTTAAGTGCCAGCCCTGCTGGGTATCAATTGTTTGTTTGGTGGCTTTCAAAGTAAAGTGGAACATTGATTTGTTTAAACACTGCAATGCATTTGTATTTCTTATCCCCTCCCAAGCCATCATTTTCATCTCATTTAGAAGATGAGATCACACTGTATTTCATAGAGAACAGGTGCCATTCAGTGACTTGAAATATGACAGACTGATCTGTAACATTTTCTACCAACTTATCTCTGAGGAGCACTTTTACACTGATACTGTGGAGCCCCTGACTATAAGGGAAGGGGATACGAAGATGAGATTCAGGAAAACATGGAGTACTTAGACAGATATATTGGCTAATTTTCTGATTCTTTCAGTAATAACTTTTCCAAATTGGTAGCCCTGGGAAATTGTTATTTTTTTTCTGCTGATTTCTTCCTTTCCTTTATTCTTTCTCTTCCACCCTTTCTCCTTGTCTCCTAATCCTCTCTTTCCTCTTCTTCCTCTAATATGGTTTGGGTATTTGTCCTCTCTAATTTGTCTTGGGTATTTGAAATGTGATCTCCAGTGTTGGAGGTGGGATCTCATGGAAAGTGTTTGTGTCTTGGGGGCAGATCTTTCATGATTGGCTTGGTGCCCTCACCTCAATAATGAGTAAGTTCTAGCTCTATTAGTTTACATAGAGAACTGGTTGATTTAAAAGAATGTGTCACCTCCCCCTTGACTCTCTTGTTGCCTCTCTCACCATGTGGCATGCCTCAGTACCCCTTGCCTTCCCCCTAAGTAAAAGCTTCCTGACGTCCTGCCAGAAATGGATGCTGGCACCATGCTTCTTGTACAGTCTGCAGAGTTGTGAGTCAAATGGACCTCTTTTCTTTATAAATTACCCAGCTTCAAGTATTCCTTTATAGTCGTGCAAAATAGACTAACACATCCTCCATTTTTCTCTTAATATTTCTCTTCAGCTAATCTAGTATCCAATTGCTCACAACATACTCATAATGAAGTACTCTAGAACAATAAACTCAGTCAGAACTTCGACTCCATACTTACGAATATACCTAACCAAGGAGTTGAAAGACCTCTGAAAGGTCCATTTACCAAAATATGATGCAAAAGAAAGATCTCTAAAGAGTTTTCTTTTTTCTTTCTGTTATGTTTTCAAATTTTCTACACAAAAAATGACCAACTCCCACAGTATCTGTTTTACTAGGCACAGCGGGCTGTCCCCAAACCCAGAGTACATATGTTCTCCTTCTGCAGGGGATTCATATGAAGCTGTTGTGGAAAAAAATCTCATAATCTTTCAAGCAAGCTACAAACTCCCAAAGACAGACTCACGTTTTGGGGCAGAAGGTAATAAATACATTTATTCAAATTAATTGCCCTGGCAGTCTAAATGTGTAGAATCTGAAATAGAGAATGTTGTTAAGGACAGGCTATCTTAGTAGTCTCTTGTACATAGAGTCCAAATTAATGGCAAACACAAGGTTACCCAGAAAGATACAGAAGAGTAATAATAAATAGATAAGGAGACTTTCTAATCCAACATTAGCTGACTCAAATTATGGGCCATTGACTAAATTGTTTTTTTTTTTTTTTTTTTTTTTGAGACAGAGTCTCACTCTGTTGCCCAGGCTGGAGTGTAGTGGGGCGATCTTGACTCACTGCAACCTCTGGCCTCCGAATTCAAGAAATTCTCCTGCTTCAGCCTCCCAAGTAGGTGGGACCACAGGCACGAGCCAACATGCCTCGCTGATTTTTGTATTTTTAGTAGAAACAGTGTTTTCCTATGTTGGCCAGGCTGTTCTGGAACTCCTGGTCTCAGGTGATCCGCCCACCTCAGCCTCCCAAAGGGCTGGGATTATAGGCGTCAGTCACCGCGCCTGGCCTAAAATTCTTAACTAAAGTGTGTTTCCTTAAAGCAAAAGTCCTTTCACATAGTTTAATAGATACCATTAACGTTAGACTTTGAATGAAAAAGATAATGTTTTAAATTCCCATAAGGTCACAAATGATCAAAACATTCTGGGAAAGTTTTCCTGAGCTTATTTTCCTAACTTAGTGTCTACCCTGTCACCTGGCACAGAATGTGTTTAATATTTTTTACATCCTTCTCTTTATATTACCTATTTACTACCTTAAATGCCTGGGATTGAGTGACATTTTCTGAGGAAATGCCCTTAGGAAGCTTACAAATAGATGTATGAAGTAATACTTAAATTCATAAAATAAGCAAACTTGATTTATAAGCATAATAATTGTAATTAATTAATATATAATTTTTAGTAAGTTATATTTTAAAAAATAATAATACCTAAAATAAAACTAAATGATGGTAAGCTCTGGATAAGAATCCGGGGAACTTTCAGAGGGGAGGTTAATGGAAACAAAACTTTGTGGTGAGTGTGGGCTTTGGTTCTGTGCAGTACCTATGATAGAGGAAGTTTAAAGGACTGATTGCATAAATCATATAGCAATGAGTGAGAAAATTATGAAAAAGTGAATAAACTCCATCTGGCAGAAGATACTAAGAATCATGGAGAAAAGGTTGCATAAGGCTGGCAGTGATTGTTGGAAGAGAATCTGGAGTATGAAGGTGAATAGTATAATTATGAATAGAAGTTCTAAAGGCTTTACACTAATTGGAGTGTTTGCCCAATCCAGGATCCCTTCTCTGGGGGAACTGGCCCCATCCGTCCATCAATCATTGGTATGAAACCATGGAAATTGTATTTATAAGATATGACTTTGAACACCATTTCCCAATTTCCTTCTTCCCCTTTCTTTTGGTAGAATATGGGAAATGAATACCTCATCTAAAATGGGCAGGCATAAGTTGGATGTCAGATCTCAACAATTCTAGAAAGAAAAAAAAGGAAGTTAGGAGTATTCTAAATGGTTTGTTAGGCAACTAAACTGAGACCATGGAAAGTCCATGTTTAAAGTTATAGTTTGAGCCATATGCACTTGTAAAAAGGATGAATATTATTGGGAGGGAAGGCAAACTGGAGAAAGGAGAAAACATAATCCTTTTTTTAAAAAAGAAAAAGATATTATGAAGCATACACAGAGAGATAAAAGATGAAAAATCATGGTTTTCTGGAAAAAAACAGGAAAATAGATTCAGTTTCTGCCATATATCTGATCCCTGATCCAAGTTTTTTCCTAAATATTTCTCCTGATTTCGTCCTTTGGTTACTTTATTATACTTTATTATAACTTTGCATTCTTATATTGCATTTTTTTTCCTTTTTGTTTATTTTACTCGAAACAAGATTTTGTTATCTGAAACCAAAAGAGTTTGGACTGAGGTAGAAGTAACAGGAGTATGTAGACTGTATAAAAATAAGGTTGACCAAGGAAAAGTAAAACCAATTGGAAAACATTTGAGAGGGAAGAAATGAGGGAGTCAGGAAGATACCTGAACTAGAAAGTAAGGGATCAATTCAAAAAACACTATAAAGAAATGTTCAGCAATAATAAGTCAGTGATTATATGTGAAACTTCATAAAGACAAGTTGAAATTCACAAATGTGATTAAACAAGGACATATTCAGTCTACACTATGTACAATACCATAATATTGAATAATTAGATTAACCAATATAGGGAAGCCAGGATATTGTCTGAGTGATTTGATTTTGCAGGAATAATAAAGAATTTATTGGTGTTTTTATTAAATGTAAACTCAGTGAAGGTGGGGTTATGTTTGTTTTATTCATCACTATATAGTGGTATTATAAGACTTACTTCTTAGTTCAGCTAAAAGTTGGGTTCTTGTCACACAACCGTGAAAGATTAGGCTCGCAGACACTTTGAAGGGTGAGAAGGGCAGGGTTTATTGGGTGAAAAGGAAACAAAAGGAAACAGGGACTCTCAGTAAAGAAATAGTCCTGCTAATATGCTTCCCACCTCACAGGTTGAATCTCAGGTTACCACCCCAGATCAGGAGAGGCCAGGCTCCTCCCCACTGCAAACAGCATGAAATTCCTGAGGCTCCACTCCAGTGTACACTCCTCTAAGTGCGCAGGCTGGTCAGAGGTTCTTTGGGGACCTCTTTATGCTTGGCTGTCTCACTGGAGCTTAGAAAAATGCGTAGTGGTTTATATTTGCTCAGCAAATATTTTTAAATAATTTAAAGTGTGCGTTTTTTATATGATAGCAGAATATTCACAATGACACAATGTGCAGGAAAAAAAATAGATTATTTCATCCTCATTACTATATGAGCATTATGTTGGTGCCAGAAAAAATAAAATCAATGAAACACAGTAAACCCTGACAGAGGACTTTGCAGTCCTGGGGGGGAAAAAAAGGCAAAACTGAATGTACAGATACAAGGCTTATTGGCTCTTAAAACTTGAGAGTGGGAGGTTTTGGCAGAGGGTAACAGTTTAACTTCATGGGAATTTTTGCTTTTAATATATACTCTGTTAGCTTGCTCTACGTCATCTAAACAGGTATCAACTGTACTTGTATTTTGTAGTTTGATATCTAATGCATAAGTCTGATATGAGCACCTTTTCCCATTTGTAGGATTCAGGCTCAGTACTCATTCCTCATCAAGGTGCATCACCACCATCTGTAGAGCTGGCAATATTAAGTATCTCTGGTAATTTCCAGAAGCTCCTCTCAAAGGTGTAGCTCACCTTGCAAAATATCTAAAACATAAAAAATAAGACACTGAGAAAAAAAGGATGGTGGATCCAGTTCCAGTGAGGAGGCCATCTGTCATGGAAAGTGATAAGAGTCATAATTGAGGGGAGCCCATGTCGTCAGTGGGAGAATCATATTAAACAGCAAGAATAAAGGGAAAAGGACAAAATGAAAGAGGAGAATGAGCTGAGAGGATTCTAGTCATGATGGTATCACAGTTAGAGAAGAGTAGGTTATAAAGATGAATTCAGATAAAAAATATTCAATGGTGAAGTCATACTTGCACTCAGCATGAATGCAGTGCTGTTTGCTGTGTAGATACAGCATAATGGAGCTCTGTATGATGAAACATACGATGTTATCCATAAAAATTGACCAGGTTACTCTACAGGTATGTCTATATTCATGTATTCAATAATTATTCATCAAATGCATAATATATGCAAGACATTTTTTCTGAGAGATGTGGAGAATTATCAGTCTAACAAAACTCTGCCTTTGAAGTAGAAATTATCAAAGTTTATAAAAGAGACGCACTCACTTTAGTTTGAAATTTCCAGAATAAATTTCTTTTGTACTCTGGGAAGATCTTACCTAAAACAAATTCATGTCTAAAGAATGGAGAAGCTTCTATTCTACCATTGTCAAGGAAAACTCCAGTTAGTATGAACGAAGGCTCCAATCTCATATCTGTGCACAAGAAAGAAAAAAGGAAAGAATGGAGAGGAGGTCAGAAAACAGTGGGGTGGAAATTAAAATCCTCATTTAAAAAATCTAAGAAAAACATGAGAGAAGCAATTACTCTGCATGTTTCCCAGCTGATTCACAGGAGATTCATGATTAGAGTTGGCCAGAGGAGGTGAAGGCATGGACTCTGCCGTGCCCCTTCCTGGAATTAGATGATATAGATGAGTAGTTCTCCCTTCGATGGAGTCCACATCATTTCCCCTGCTGTCCCTCTCGCTGGAAATGTCCCCCAGCTAACACAGGGCTTCCTCTGCTGTGACTACAAAGCTGAGCTGCTGGCAGGGGGCAGATTGCTTTCCACAGAGGAGACCAGATATGGTTTCTTTGCTGCTATGGTAGCTACTCGGGCAGCATCTCGTTTGGAAGAGATTCCACCCTAAACCCTTTAAGGCTGGGCAAAAGATAAATGCTGCAGCTTAAAGTCAAAGAAATTCCAAGCTCCTTGCTCCAGAGAAGATTAAGTCAGTAGGAAATCCAAATAATGAGAGCCCCGAGGAACTATTCTGAAAATCAGAGGAAACTGAAAGAAAAACTTAAAATAACATCTCTTTTAAAGGAAAAGAAAAACAACAGGAGGTTTAATAAATTTATATGGCCTCTCACTGAATTGTAAACATTTGAGAAGATAAGTAAACAGAAGAGGGAATGGTGCAAAGGAGGAAAAATATAGATGGTTCTTTCAACTCTGCAGCATCTACCAACACAAATTACAGTGCAGACCAGACTGGTGAATTTCTCTGGGGACTTCCCAGAGTGTAAAAGAAGGGAAATGAGGAAGGAATAAGACCTGAGTTTCAAGGGAAAGAAAGAAAAAAATCAAATCTTTAAAAGTTTGCTTTTCTAGTCCCTGAATTACCATCAGAAAATGCTACAACATTGCATTTAAGGGAAGTAAGTATGTATGCTAGAGATGCCATTGAAGAAGGGATGAAGCAGTGCTTGACTATCTGAAGCTGAGGAGTTCTGAAGATCTTTACCCAACCTCAAACTTGCTGGTGCTCATGTCTCTGTGGTTCTGAAGTAGAACTAGACTTCAATCTCAGTGTCATGTCTTTATTCATTTAGGCCTGGAGGGAGGACAGAGGAAGAACCTTGCCTCTGTAATTTGGACTTCTGCTATTCTGTCACAATTGCTGCCTTGTTGTTTTGTGGGTTTTTTCTTTTTTTTAATCATTTTTTTTTCTGGCAGTTGCATAAGAATGTCCAGGAACCATATGGCAGAATGAGTTTTCATTTCTGTGTTCTTTAATCCAAGTTCAAGATGCTGCTCGTGAAACCTAATCATAGATCTTAAAAACCCTCCTTGTCTCTCTCATTTCTCCCTCTTGCTACTGCCTAGGGATTTGGCTCAAGGAAACCTTGGTTAACAGTCAACTGAAAGTTGACTCTCAAATGGAAAGGCTGGGAAATACCAAAGACCTGCAAATGTTAGTTTGATTCACTTCAAGGTGATCACATCAACCAACATTTTATCAGCATCTGCAATTTCTAGATGTTTTGTAAAGTGTTGTGGGAATACAAAGATGATTAAAATACAGACAGTTGCTCAACCAGGTGTAGTGGAAAGAGCAAAGACTGAAACGAGAGGAGAGTTGACCTGACTCTACTGCTATAATTGTGACTGTTTTTCCTCTAAATTCCCTTCTCTTAAAATACGGCCCCACTAGCAGTCCAGGGCTGCATGAGGGGCTCATATGAACGGGCTTTTATTCTATGATACTGCCATATTCACTGACTCAACAACACAGGTTCTCAGCTCAAGGATGAGGTTGGGCAATGGTGACCATATTCTATCTCTATACTGTAAATTTAGGCTTGGCTTGGCCTTTAATCCATGCACTTTGGGAGGCTGAGGCAGGAAGATTGCTTGAGCCTAGGAGTTCAAGGCTGCAGTGAGCTATGATTGTGTCACTGCATCCAACCTGGATGACAGAGAGAAAATCTATCTCATAATAGTAAATAAATAAATTATAAGCTTAGAATGTTAGGCTTTAGAATGTTAGATTTAGCACCAGAATCTCCTATGCTGAAGCAAAACTAATGGAAAGCTAAGATTGAGAAGAATAAAAAATAAAACTACTGTAGAGATAGCCAGTGTACACAGAAATGAATACAGCAAATATGCAGAGAGAAGCAAAAATATGTGACAATGATTGAGAGGGAATAAAACAAAGGGTCAGAGGGGGCAGAAGGCAGGGAGAGAACAAGAGAGAAAAGTTACTAATGACTGACCAACATGAGACATTATTGTATTTCTTGTAAAGTATCTTATGACATTTCTCATATTCTTCTAATGACCCTTGTTTTTAACTTTAGCTTACGTATTTTTTGTCCTTTGAAACCAAATTAACATTAATTATAACAGATGTTGACTGGTGTGGTCTAGAACAGATCACACTATCTCTAAGTTATAATTTGGTTAACTTTTAGGATACTGATATATTGTTTCTTAATCCCAGAGTCAACGATGATACCTGAGACAATGTTGTGATGTTTGGAATTTATCTGCTCAGTACATGGTCTCTGAATGGTAATCTCCAGCCAAGGCATTAGTGATGGAGAGTATGGAGGGATCTAATCATGAAGACAGTGAAGGCTCCAGGAACTCTGCGAAAGATAAAATGGCAATGGCTATGGTGGAGAAGCAGGGTAGGGAAGAAGCTTGGTGTGGCACAGTTTAACTGGAGTGAGGGACTAAAGATGGAAAACAATAACAGACTACGGTTGGTGATTTTATGACCATGTTTAGGGATTTGAATTTCAAGTTAGTTTTGGTTTCAATATCTTTAAGGCATATCCAGTTGATAAGGTATGTGTAGGGGTGGGAAGGTAGAAGGTATGATTGAGTAACACAAAGCCCCTCAATCTTTTACATTCATGTCAACCCAGTTCAAAATCTGCAGCATTTTACTCTCTACAATTTGCATTTTTAAAAGATTGGGATTTTTTTTCAAATATAAATTTATATTATACCTTCCAATCTATTTTTAAATATTATCTTCATCAATTAAGTTAAGTCTAGTGAATTCTCCTGCCCCATAATCCTTCTCCTTATTTAAGGACAAGCACATTTGGAATGCTAGCCTTGTAGACCGTGTTTACCCTACTCACTGTCAAAAGCAAGATGATTCTGAGATTTGTTGGAGTACAGTGTATTGTATATGTGTTATGTATGGTGCCAGGCATGTAATAAGGGCTCAATAAATACTTATTGAAAAAATTAATCAATAACATTCCTTTTTAGTTTCCCATGATGATTAATAAGTTTCATTTGTTCCATCATTCCAGGCATTCTGATTCTAAACAGAAGAATGAGGAAGAGGAGTAAGGGGAAGAGAACAAAAAGCAATTTTTATGTTTTTTTTAAGAGAAAACTGGAAAACATTGCAATAATAGAAAAATACTGCCATTTGTGTATAATCAACATGCCCCTACATTTTTAATCTCCACCTTCTTATGATCTGCAGCCCTGTCCATGACCTTTTGATATAGAGGATGCTGACCCCTAATGAAAGAAACATTATCATTAATTCATTGAAGCTTAGGAGAGAAAAATAGATGACAAATTAGAAGACAAGCTAAAAGCTTAAATCTAGTTATAACAATGATATATGATCAGTTTAGATAAAGCAGAAAGTCCAGATATAAAGAGATATACATTTAAATCATTAATTAATAAACAGGGAAAGCAAGGCAAGAATAAAGTATATTCTACATTGGCACTATGATGGTAACACAGTTTGTAAGAAGAAAAACAAATGAAAATGTTTGCAGATAGTATGGAGGGACACTACCTAGGCCACTGATTTTGCCACCCTAGGATCCGTTATGGTTTATTGTTGTTTTTAATTAAGTAGGGGTGCTGAGAGAATATATGTACCTTGCTCATGACTGTGGTTTAAATTAGTAAAAGTTTTGATTGGTGCTGTCATCATCAGCCTATTCCTTGGGGCTTCTCACTCACCATCCCCATCAAAAATGAAACTGATTAGAAACTCTTGTCTTTCCTGGAGTCTCCTTTAATTTTTCTTCCTCAAGATAAATGCATCAGCCAATTTCCGTTCAGTGTTTGAATCAGAAACACTGAGAAAATAAGTAAGCTGTGAAAATAAATAAGATGACCAAAATAACATTCATGGAAAAAGTTTAAGACTCACCAAGTTTATATGCTAGTGATCTGTGGGGTTTCCAGTAGATTTGGCTCCTGAATACCTTCTAATATAAAGAAGATGTCTGTGTAGGCGATTGCTCTTCATTACTTTTTTTTTTTCTAAAACTAGGTATAGCAGTTCCCTCCTTCGGATATTTTCTTAGTAAAGGCATTCCCTAAAGTAGGTTTCAAAGCACACTGGGTGTTTTCACACACAAAAAAGGGAAAGGAATAAATTGCTTTCTGCAATTACAACAGGCTGGTCTATTGACACACAAGTGAATGAAATGTTTATACCCTGAGAGGGAGCCCCTCCATCACTCTCAAAATTACAGGCCCTCAGATCACCATTGAATGTCTAGCCCTAGAAAATTTGCAGAGATAGACAAAGAATAAGGGAAAGAGAACATAGCAGGCAGCAGTAAATAGCTGTATTTATAGCATTGTGTCCTAATGGAAACATCAATCCTGTTTTCTGAGGAAACTACTGAAAATCCTAACCATAATATTGTCCTCTACTTGACTGTCAGACTGGCTTATAACTTATTCCTTCAAAAAGCTAGAAGCTAAATTCTCCGTGCCATACAGAGTACAACCTGAAGATGAAATTGTAAACCATTTCAAAGACTCATTTAACATAGAAACAGGTATTTTCAGACATCTAACCATCAATTTCAATGCTGGTTTCTGAGCAGTTCTCAGGTGTGATGAACAGGTGAGGCGGAGGTGTACCCCAGCATCTATCTTTGTATTGGGAACATGATAAACAATTATAATATTTATTATTCAAGCATTTAACCAGTGGGATATCACAGTTAATACAGAATATACCAATTTGTGCAACAAAAGTTTCTTGAGCAAAAACAACCTTTAGGAGAATATTTTTCTATGTAAGGTGTATGAAAAAATAATTTGGAATAAACTCTAGTGCTGTTTATGTTTAGAAATATAATCCTTTCCAACCATAAATTTTTAGTCTAATAATCAGACCAATAACTAGCTCTACCTTGTGAGGTTGACAGCTCATAAGGGGCGAAGAAGAAGGAGAAGGAGAAGGAGAAGGAGAAGGAGAAGGAGAAGGAGAAGGAGGAGGAGGAGGAGAAGAAGAAGAAGAAGAAGAAGAAGAAGAAGAAGAAGAAGAAGAAGAAGAAGAAGAAGAAGAAGAAGAAGAAGAAGAAGGTGGAGGAGGAGGAGGAGGAGAAGGAGGAGAGGAGGAGGAAGAGGAGGAGGAGGAGGAAGGTGGAGGAGGGGAAGGAGGAGAAGGAGGAGGAGGAAGGGGGAGGAGGAGGGGAAGAGGAGGAGGCGAGGAGGAAGAGGAGGGGGAGGGGGAGGAGGAGGAAGGGGAGAAGGAGGCAGTGGGAGGAGGGGCAGGAGGGGGAGGAGGGGCAGGAGGGGGAGGAGGGGAAGGAGGAGGAGGAGAGGGAGGAGGAGGGGAAGTAGGAGGGGGAGGAGAAGGGGAAGGAGGAGGGGAAGGAGGAGAAGAAGAAGAAAAGGAAGAAGAGGAAGAAGAAGAAGAAGAGGAAGAAGAAGACTGATGACTTCATCTAAGTATCCGGCTTTTAAAAATCTCTAATAGATTGCTTCTTTTTAACACAGGATCTCTGTCTCCATAATTTCAACTTCCACACAGTAGATGGCTCCAGCTCGGGCTTTTTTCCTGAATTCTAGATTGCACATACATCAGCATTATAGCTCATGATGCACATTTCAGCATTATAGCTCATCTCATCTTCCTCCTTTACGTTCACACCCAAATCTGCATTTACTTTATTCTCTATAAAAAATTCAACAAATAGGAGTTAATTTAGCACCCCACCACAAATTAGAAAGATTCAGGCACTTAAGTTAGAAGTATAAAATTCATATTTGTTTAATGTAGTCCAATTCTATTAGACCCCATGTATTAAAAAAAAAAAAAAAAAAAAAACTATCCTCTAAACACCTTTGTTTTATTATCTTCTTTCTACACCTTCTATGACTTCTTTAATTTGGTTCCAGGCTGCTTTAATATCAGTTCACCGTTTGTCATTCTTCATGGTCCATCTGTTAAAATGCCACAGTTTGTGTTCTGATATGTGCATCTGATC